TTTACTCATTTCTCACATGGCGCCTTCCTTTTTTCTGCTTTTCACGGCACCTGTCATTTTCTCCCCTGCCAGATGGGAACTTTGAACACACATCGCCAAGTTTGCAAGCAGCTCCCTGCATGGTCCCACTGCTGTCACTGATCCATCCATCAGAGTGTACCACGATCCCGCTCCTCTGCTGGTCCTTCCACTCCACATGCCGACTGAAGGAATTCCAGATGTAAGTCTTCTGCTTTAAAGTTTTTCACTGGCTTTACTCCTCCTGACCTGGCGCCCTGCTTTCTTCTGTTTGTCTTGGAGGGATTCCCCACATCCTTGAGGAGGAGCTGCCGGTCCTTTTCCAGGCATTTGCCTTCTGGTTCATCCCTTCTTTCATTGTCAGCCTCAGAACGCATTAACTGTGTTCACACTGCCACCACATCGGTAACATAGGATCTTCACCATCCCTGACAATGCTTGCAGGCTCCAATCCAGATGCCCTGGTTCCTTGGTCTGCACTCTCCTCCATTTGCCCATCCTATGGACAATTCCACCTAGTGACTCTTCTCCGTTACATCTTGTGTACAGTCAGTTCCCATTTTCCTTCTACTCTGCCCCATGTCACCATCCCATTCTACAATGTGTGTGAGCTGAATTTTTATTCCTTTAATGATCATTGCATGTACCACTGTCTAACCATTCCATACTCCATCCAAAGCAAGAAAAAATGGATTTAGATATACTTTAGGATACAGCAGTACAGGGGAGATCTGGACTACAGGGCCTGTTCACACCATAAATCGCACAGGAACACACTGTGCGCTCCTATGCAATTCACATGTGATACAAGTGCAGTGCAATTTCAGCTAATTCACCTGAATGGGCTGAAATTGCACTAAACCACAGGAAAGTAGTGCATGCACTAATTTAAAAAAATGCACATGGAACGCGAGTTTTCAGCACCGCGTTCTGGTGTGAAGAAGCCCTTAAAACAGAGACCTGTGCTTTATATGATCCAGCTCCTTTTTATGAAGTCTGGTTATTTTATGCCCATGAAAAACCAGTACAATGTGTCATGTGTTTGGAGAGCTGTGTCACACCCAGCCGCACTCACAATGAATCCACATTATAAAAATGCTGCATCAAAACCAAACACAGGAAAGTCAGACATTATTATGAATATTAAGGTTATTGTTTGGAAAGCAGATTTACTTACTCCTGGCGAGTTAACCAGAGTCATGATTGCTGGAACACATTTTCACATTTTCTGTTTTGTATTTTCAAACACTGTAAGCGACAACCACTTTTTCAGGTCTAATGGCAGCAGCAGGGCGCTATACTTCTAGAAGCTTCTGCCTGGGAAAATGTTATGCTTCTGCGCTGTATTTGGGTGCCCCAGGCTATATGATGTGTTAAGGAAGCTGAGCAAATTTATTGTTCCTAAAAGGGGATGTAAACCAGGCCAACAGCATACAAGCAATTTGGAAAATGCCAGGAGCTCAGATGAAAGAAGGTCACGGGATGGAAACCAAAGGTCAAACCAGCAGGCTGAAAACAGCGCCAGGGGATAAAGCGGAGACCGAACAGACAAGTCAGATGTCATAGCAAAAAGGTCAGGAGGGCCAAGTTCACTCAAAGCCAGAATCAGCAAATGAGGAGGAGACAGAACAAGCAGGGCAAACCTACCATATCTTATTTGTAGAAACATTAGATCCCTGGTGCCCAACCTGTGGCTTGAGGGCCACATGTGGCCCTTTCATATAGGATGTGTGAACCTCAGCAGTCTATAGTGGGAATATTGATTAGGGTAATAGCATTGATCTCTACTAGCCTCATCAACATGTTCCCAGTTTCATATTGTCTTCTTTAACCATCTCCAGCTAATAGTGTAGCATGTCTACACTCCTTGACCCTCATTTCATCTCTTTGATCCGCAGTTTTTGACAGTCCTCTCAAGCATTTCATAAATTGAACATTATGTGCAAGCCTTTGCTGATGTCAGAGGCTGCATTTGAGGCCCCTTTAGCCAAGTTGACAACCACTGAATTAGAGCATAACCTCCTCTGATTCAGAAACTGATGTGACTGGCTCAGTGTTCTCTGTACAGCACTACAGAATATGGCAGCGCTATATAAATGTATAATAATAGTGTGTGACTGTGGTGGAGTCATTAGAGTGCAAGTTCCTTTGGTGCAGACTGATACTGGCTCAGTGTTCTCAGAACAACTATGGAATATGTCAGAGCTATATTAATGTATAATAATAATAGTGTGTGCCTGTGATAGGACATTGGAGTGCAAGCTTCTTTCATGACTGGCTCAGTGTTCTCTGTATAGCACTGCAGAATAGGACAGAACTATATAATATATAAAAATAATAATGTGTGACTGTAGTGAGACATTAGAGTGTAAGCTCCTCAAGTGAAGAGATAATTGTAACTGGCTCATTACCTCCGTACAGCACTATATGTCAGAGCTATATAAATATATAATAATAATAGTATGTTACTGTCATGAGGACATTAAAGTGTAAGCTCCTCTGGTGCAAAGACTGCTGTGTTGTTTGTACAGAACTATGGAATAAGTCACAGCTACAGAAATGTATAATAATAATAATAATATTGTATGACTTTGGTGACGACAATACAGTGTAAACTCCTCTGATGCAGAGATAGGTGACTGGCTTAATCTTATCTGTACAGCACTGCAGAATATGTCAGAGCTATATAAATGTATATTAATAGTGTGCGTCTGTGGTGGTGATATATTAAAGTGTAAGCTTCTCTGGTGCAGAGACTGATGTGACTGGCTTAGTGTTCACTGTGGAGCACTGTGAAATATGCCAGAGCTATATAAATGTATACAAGTAATAGTGTGTGCCTGTGATGGAACATTAGAGTGTAAGCTCCTCAAGTGCAGAGTTAGTTATAACTGGCTCAGTGTTCTCTATACAGCACTGTGGAATATGTCAGAGCTATATAAATGTAAAATAATTATAGTGTGTGACTGGTTGGACATTAGAGTGCAAGCTCCATTGGTGCAGAGACGATATTAGTTTATTTGTTGCAGAATTCTTCTAATAATAAATAATATGTATCAGAAGAATATAACAGAATATGCAAAAAGGAATTAAAGGGCACAAAAATTGAAAACGAACGAGAGATTGCAAAAGATAGCAGGCCAAACCCCCCAAAAATTATTCAAATATATATAATATATAATAGTAAAAAGGTTCGGTCCGAGCATGTATGCCCTTTACAAAATAATCTAGAGTGGGTGACTGGGGACAAAGAGAAGGCAAATTTATGAAATGCCGTATTCAGCTCTGTGTATACAAAGGAGCATGGGGGAGCTCTTGTCCATAATGGGCATGGTATAGACACAGCTCCAGATCATCCACATTGGCTCACAATTGATATGATCCAAAAATATTTAGACAGCATAAAAGGTGAATAAAGCACCTGGACCAGATGACATACACCCACGGGTCCTTAAAGAATTGAGCTCTGTCATTTTAAACCCGTGGTTTCTAATTTTTAGAGACTCTTAAAATGACTGGCATAGTACCACTGGATTGGCATAAGGCCAATTTGGTGTCTATATTTAAAAAGAGGTCAAAATATTTACCAAATTTACTTTACTTAGTTTAACATCTATAGTTGGAAGATACTGGAGAGTTTAATAAAAGACCACATAGATGAGTTCTTACTGGAATACTTGGATTTTGCAAAAGCATTTGACACAGTTCCCCCCACATGGCTAATGTGTAAGGTAAAGTCTACAGGCTTGGAAAAATCTATATGTAAATGGATAGAAAACTGGCTAAAAGATCGTATTCAGAGAGTAGTGATTAATGATTCATACTCTGAATGGTCTAAGATTGTCAGTGGTGTACCCCAAGGTTCAGTGTTGGGCCCCTTACTTTTTAATATATTCATAAAATGATATAGAGTCTGGGAATAAAAATCCCATTTCAGTCTTTGCAGATGACACCAAGCTGTGCAGTGGAATAACGTCCTTACAGGATGTCTTCAACTTACAAGCCAACCTCAATGCACTGTGTAATTGGGCAACTATGTGGCAAATGAGGTTTAATGTTGATAAATGTAAAGTTATGCACTTGGGGGCTAAGAATATGCATGCATCATACATACTAGGGGGGGTACAACTGGGGGAATCAATGGTGGAGAAGGATCTGGGGGTTCTGGTAGATTACAAGCTTAATAATGGCATGCAATGCCAAGCTGCGGTTTCTAAAATGAGCAAAATCCTCTCTTGTATTAAAAGAGGTATAGACTCCAGAGAGAGAGATATAATTACCCCGGTACAAATCATTAGTAAGACCTCATCTGGAATATGCAGTTCAAATTTGGCCACCAATTCATAAAAAGAACATTGGGGAACTGGAGAAAGTACAGAGAAGGGCAACCAAACTGATAAGAGGCATGGAGGAGCTCAGCTATGAGGAAAGATTAGAGGAATTAAATTTACTGTCTCCTGAGAAGAGGAGATTAATGGGGGATATGATCAACAATGTATAAATACATCAGTGGTTCATACAGTGAACTCAGTGTAGAGTTATTCACCTTGAGATCATCACAAAGGACAAGGAGGCACACTTTATGTCTGGAGGAAAAGAAATGTAATCTCCAAATATTGAAAGGTTTCTTCACAGTAAGAGCTGTGAAAATGTGGAATAGACTCCCTCAAGAGTTGGTTCTGACCAACTCAGTGGATTGCTTTAAAAAAGGCCTGGATTGTTTCTTAGATATACAGTTATATTCTGTGTACTAACATTTATAGGTAAAGTTGATCCAGGGAATATCCGATTTCCTCTCGGGGGATCAGGAAGGAGAGATTTTGCCTTCCTCTGAATCAACTGTGGGAATAGAATTATAACTTTTTTTTTTTTTATATGGTTGAACTGGATGGACTTTTGTCCTTTTCAGCCAGACTAAATATGTTATGAACAGAGTCAGGAATCACCTTATAGGAACCCATCACCCACAATTAAATATTCACCTTAAAGGCACCAGGTACATGATCCTTGTCCCCGTCACAGCAGGGGGCTCCATTATTGCAGCCATTCTTACAGTTCTGTTAAAGAAAAAACAAGAAGTTATTTGGAATATGAATTATAATGCAATGAGCAATATTAATGATTGTTGAATATTGTGACCACATGCCTTATCTGACCGCTGTGTACACAGAACACTGGAGGAGGAGGTGAGATGGCCTCAGAAAGGTTCATATTTGCACAATATATTGTTAGATAAACATGGCCAGCACATGCCGATATAATGCACCTCTACAGTTACCTTCACATGACAATACAGAGATCTGCAGTTCAGAGATATTCATTTTAAATGCTATAGAATCATCTGTTGCCTGTCCACTCAATCAGAATTTCTGATCTCTACTTCTTCCTGTGATCCCCCCTAAGCACTCGTCTCGTCTTCTTGTCGGCTTTAATCACTTTTTTTTAATGTATCAACCACAAAATCATCAAAGTAAAACTTCTACGCATGAGAAAGTTGTGACATTAAAGTATAAATTAAAGTGAAACTAAAAAGGCAAAACCTTTTTTTTTTTTCATTTTGAATAGGTAAAGGAGCGTTACAACCCCTGACAAGTTTTTACCAATTGTATCCCATAGGTGAGATTTCCCTTCACTTGCAAAAGTGAGGAAATTCCTGGTTGTCACCAGGATCGTCACATCTAGTGTCCCCATTGGATATGTTTCTCTCTATTTCTGTTCTGGTAACAACCCAAAATTTAGGATTTTCTTACAAATAGAGAAGGCAAATCTCCCTAATTGGGCACAGACAGCAATAAAAGCCTAATCCCTATCCTATCAAAAACTAAAAAAAAAAAACATTTTGCCTTTAGTTACACTTTAAGGCAAAACTTTTTTTTTCAGCTTTGGATAGAGTGGAGAGGTATTAGAACATCTCTCTGGTATTTATATCTGTCTGTGCCCCATTAGGGAAATTCACCGTATTTGTCCTGTTTACCATTATCATCGAGACTGAAAAAAAATCCCAAATTGTGGATTATCACCAGAACAGGAATAGAGGGGAAATCATCCAATGGGGACACTACTGTAGATGTGATGACCCTGGTGACAATGAGGGATTCCCTCACTTTAGAGGGATTTCCTTTCACTTCCAGTTGTGACTATGAAATATGAAGTGATGGGAAATCTCCCCATTGGGACAGAGATTGCCAAAAAATGGCAGTGGTTATAACCTTTCTGTACCTTATCCAAAATGAAAAAAAAAAAAAAAAGTCTTATCTTTAGTTCTGCTTTAAAGTAAAAATGATTGCAAAGCACATTACATACATTACAATTTGTGGCTGAAAATTCCAGGTGTGTTGTTTGGCTGGTCTGTTATAGTGCACTGCAGTTTACCCCATTTGCCCACTACATCCCAAGCCACAGTATCCCCCTGAATATGTGGCAAAAATCTGAAGATTCTTTGGCCAGCTTTACAAGGGACAAAGATCGGGGTCACCAGTGATGGGACAGTTCCTGTTAGGACTCTTTTTTTATATACTACTATTTTTTGGTATATTTTTTGGTGACAGTAAAAAAAAAAAAAAAAAAAATCTAAATGTGAAACAATACATGCAGATTGCAATGTGTCTGCAGCTACTGTCATAATTCTCACTTCCCATGAAGCAGTGTTAGCGAATAACTTTTTTTTTTTTCTTTTTAAAGCAAAAAAGGTACTTTTTTCGTGAGAAAAAAAACCCATCTGAAGCCTAAAGTTACATGATCTCTGACTATCAGAAGCAATGTGGATGTTTCCTGTCATCAAAGACTGCAAAGAGGATATTGTTTTCTAACAGACAGATCCTGAATGATAAACTTTCCTCCAGATAGAATACATGTTAAACTATATACTGTTACTCATACATTCTTCATATATAGTTCCTATATGTTCAGAATTAGTGCATACGCCAACGGTAAAAAAAAATGAATATGTCTGCATTGCAGCATTAGGAGATGTAAAAACTGGGATATTCATTGATTCTCAGACTCCAGGGTAATGACATCTGTGGCATTGATTGGTAATCACTCAGAGCATTCCATATGAGGGTCAAGGACGCACCCATGTACACCACGTTCTGCCACAACTCTCTGTTATTGTGTATCTACAAAGGACTCAGCAATCCTAGTCACACTGGCAGCACTCCATCCCTGGCAATACTGGGCTCTACATCCAGGTATTTCAGTTTTCGATAAATTCTGGCTCTGGCGAGCTTAATCATCCAATGGAACATTAGGTATTTCAAGGGCTCCAGTGGTGAGATCTCCAAGTTGGAGGTCCCAAGGAAATCTAAAGCTGGCCTTACACCTGTAGAATTTTGATAAAATATGTCATTTTCAATGCTGGTTATGTTAACTAAGAGTTAAATAGGACAATTCAACAATTGGTTTCAATCAGAGGGAGCAGAGAAAAAAAACTAAAGGATAAGAATAGAAAATGTTTTTGAATCTAATTAGAATGAACAAAGTACTAATCTGCTCCTGGCTGAGAAAAATCAAAACAGTCTTACGTGCATGCATTTGTAAAAGTTCTTCCGAAAGTAGAATGTTCATTGTATGAAAATCAAGACAGACATGGAACTTTAGAAAAAGTCAATCAGTCAAGTCCATGAGGGCACCATCGAATGGACTTTTCATCAGAACGTTTGAATAAAATTCTACAGGCCTGTAAATAGAAAAGCTCTTACAAATTGAGGCTCTTTTCCTTTTAGGTTTTCAAGACTACAATTAAAGGAAACTACTAATGCAGGACATAGGTACGTTTATCGGCCGAATTTTCGTCCGAAAGAATAAATCGGCCAATATTCGCACCGTTAGTGGGGCAATGTCATCGGCTGATTTTCGCTGTTCCTCCTCATTTCTTTTATCGGTCATGCTGGAAAATTTGAGAAAAACGGACGTTTTTTGTAATCATTGGTGGCAACAGAATGACCAATGTTTCGAAAATTTGGCCGATAAATGAACCGTCTATAGCCTTCATTAGCCTGCCTTCTTGATGGCTACTACTACAATCCATTCCAGGAACTCCAGACTGGAATTCTCTGACAGAAGTGTAAGGCTAGCAATACATTTTTTTCTTGTTCAGCCCCTGGGAAATGTAATAGATTCCTTCATTCATACTAATCTCCCACTGCGGCTATTGTATTCTGACAGCCAGCACCCACGGCTGTCAGAATACCTGAACACTGACCACAGCTGATTAAATGAAAAATTGGCTTTTGTTAATCCAGGTAGTGCTGACAAGGCCATCTGTGGGTCAAATTCAGACCGATGCAGTAGGAATCAGCTGAAATTCAAGCTGTGCATGGCAGTCTCTGGGCAACATTCAAACCTGAGCAGAGTGATTTTCAGACGTTTTCAGGCATATTTTTAGCACTTTTGCACAAGTATGCGATTGATTTAGAAATATGTTTCAACTTTTACATGTCTTTTCAAGCTTAAGGCACTTGCGCAATTTCACATTTTTACATGTTCCCATTCAAGTTTATGGAAGTAAAAAGTAGCTCCTGTAGCTGAGTGCACCAAGCATTAAAAACAGGCCCCTGAAAGTTTAACTCCAGCTAAAACTTTTTTTTTAAAATTTGGGCAGAGTGGTGACAAGGGAAATCTACAATGGCAACATGGACACCTATAATCTATACTATCAGGACAGTCTAGAGAAACTTAAGCCTGGGTTCACAAACATGCGGTGCATCGCATGTGATTTGCACAGGAACTACACCGCATTCCTGTGCAAATCACATGCGATTTGTGTGCGGTGCAAATTGGAGCATTATGTATGGCTCTAATCATACCACACCTGCATCAAAAACATGCAGGACCCTTTTTTTGGGTCTGCACTAGAATCGGATCGCATGGGTATTCACAGCTATGCAATACGATTCTGCACATCGCACCACGTTTTGCGGACCGCTTTCGGGGTGTTAACATCCACACTCGCAGCAGTTCGCACGAACGGGGTGCAATTCTGATGCGGTGTGGAATTCGCATGGAAAACGCTGCAAATTCCACAACGCATCTGTGTGAACCAGGGCTTAAGCAGAACTAAACCCTCCAATCGTTTTCAACCAAGGAAGCTGCCATCTTAGCCTCTGTTTGATCTTCAACTGCCATGATGCTGCCCATGTGATCAGTCATGACACCAGTCATTTGATGGTTCAACAGTTTGGTTGAGAGCACAAGTAGGGCCTCATTCACACCATACTTGCAGAAAAACTGATGGAAAATGACCTGCAGATTTCACTTGCAGAGACATCAGTTTCCACGCACACTTCAATGAGTTCTATACACGTTGCAGATTCCTGCGCAGAAAATCTGCACATGATACCAGTGTTCTTGTGTGAACAGGACATATACAGGACAATTGATTTTGTTGTGCCCTTGCAAAACACGTGCAGAAAAATTGATGTCTCTGCACCATGGTGTGAAAGAGGCCTAAAGCGGAACTGCCATGGTGCTGCCCATGTGATCAGTCATGACACCAGCCATTTGATTGTTTGACAGTTTGGTTGAGAGCACAAGCAAATGTGACAGTTATCATTCCAGGCATGCCACGAATGTAACAGTTTTTTTAAACTGCTAAACTGATGGGTTTAGTCCTACTTTAAATATGTGAAAGGTGGGAATAGTGTTCAGGAGGGAATTTTCAGTAGGAAGCCAAAGACGGGGTCTTCACCTCAAACTTGTAGGAGGAAAGTTCAAAAACTAACCTTAGAAATTATTATTTTACTGAAAGAGTAATAGATGCTTGGAATAGACTTCCAGAAGAGGTAGTGAGTCAGTCAACAGTAAGTGGATTTAAAGTAGTACTGAAACCTAAACATTTTTTACTTTGTTGTAGTCTGCATTAACCTGTTGATGCCAGTAGTATGCATATATGCAGCCACTCGGCATGTGGGCTTTAAGTCCTCATACACACTGGACATTTTTACAGCTGCTGTTTTTGGCTTTTGACATTTTTTTTCTACAGCCAGTAAAACCCCCAGCATGTTATCCTATGTATCCATGCACACATAGACTGTAATCAATGTTTTTTGGCAGGGGC